CTTTTTGAGCGCTCGTTTTGTGACACTGGGACATTGTGGTATTGTCGGTAACGACCTTGCTGATAATGCTGCCCGATCCGTCCACGCAGACGCCCAGACAACCCCAATTTCATTGTCGAGAACCGACGCTGCAAAGGCCTTCACTCGTTCGCTAACACTATGTCGGAAGCTTGGCTGAGTGACCTCAGTGTCGGAAACCACCGCCTACACAAATTGGACCCATCGAGAAAGCTTCAAGTTCTATTGGACCTCTCCCGCCAGGATGCAACTTTACTGTGCCGCCTGTGGTTCAGAATAGCTTTTACGAAGGCGTACTCCTTTCGCATAGGAATGGCGGATAGCTCCCTATGTGAATCGTGCGACACGGATAAGACAATAGAACATCTACTGTGTTTTTGCGAACGTTTTGCGAGTGAACGCAACTTGCTACGCGAAACGTTAGAGACACTAGACAGTAGACTTTTTTCCGAAGAGAATATCCTTGGTTCGTGGCTCTCCGCGTCACAGGCCAGCAAAGCGACGCGGGCATTGCTAAGTTTTCTAAAGACGACCGGACTACGCGACCGCTTATAAGCGTGCAATAAACAAGGTCACATCTGCACACACGTTGCCCTTCACTTCTCTCTCTCTCTTCTTTTTTAATCCCCTCACCCCTTCCCCAGTGCAGGGTAGCAAACCGGGCGTGCGTCTGGTTGACCTCCCTGCCTTTCATTTTTTTCCTTCCTCCTCTTCCTCCTCCTTCAATTGCGGATAGCCAAAAGTTCAACCACAGCTGGCGCTGCCCCGCCGCGAAACTCGGCGCAGAATGCCAATGAGCCAGTATCGTAAACGTCGGTGGTTTTTTTTTCGCTTTATTCGTTAGCACGAGGGAGTCTCACAATTTGCAAAGGATAGCGTGGTAGCTTAGCAGTTATGGCATTGCGCTGCTGAGCCGGAGTGAGCGTGTTCGACTCTTACCCCTAGAGGCGTCACACCTATAGGTGCAAGGATGTCCAGGAAAGTTCGCTTAGGCACACGCCATACAACACCAGCAACTCGGAGTTAGTGCTCGTCCCACTCATGTGAGCCATTCCTTTGGGAAACGCAAAACACCATACTATGCTTTGCAGATTGTTAATACATGTATGTACATCGTAAATACACTATTTTTGCGCGTAATTGGGACATTCGACGCAAATCGTACGAGTTAATGTGCTGGTCACTACAAAATAACATAAAATTTTTAATCACGGAAGGACTTGTAATTTCTCCGGCATCGCTGTGAATCAAACCAGGCTACGAAACTAGCACGGTTTCTTATCGCTTTCTTTCCCGAAAGCAGCGTATGGAACTTGGCAGAACCTGACCAAAATGTTTGAAAAAGTTTATTCAACACTTATAAGGTGCCGAAGTCATGCACAGATAATGAATATTTTATCTTGTCCCATTTATGTTGTATGAGTAGCTAACTCAAAGGAGTATGAAATTGAAGAGCTGTATTTGCACCGAAAGTGACCCGTAGACCCTTACTGCATGGTGGTCACCTCAGAAGACCACCTCGTCTGCTTTGAACTAAAAGTGCCAATTTCTGTCTTTTCAGAAAAAATCCTTTTCTGCAAAATATCTCGCCATTTTTCAATAAAACCCTATTTCCCGCCAAAAATGGAGTTGCGTGCATGAAAGAGTTGAAACAATAAAATTTTCTTCCCCTCATAAATTCCCTAACCTACGCAAATATTTATTTTAGAAAATTCTGGCTCGGTAATGTTTCCAATAAAACTGAGTGTTCCACACTGTCATATGCTTCGGCTATGTCTAATGTCACCAGAGCAGCATGCTGTATTCTTTTGCGAGCAAGTTAAATGCGGCTTTCTAAGTCTACATGTGCACAAAATATTGAGCAATACCCTCTCAACCCAATTCGATTTGGATTTATTAGTACATTTTTTGCAAGTCAGATTGTAATTTTCTTATAGAGCACTCTCCCAATGAGCTGCAACGTATTAGAAGTGAGAGAAATATGCGGAATGTTTTAATTCTTATAGCATCAGCCAGGTAGCTGTCTTTATTGTGGCATCAAGGTGTATTTTAACAAATAATTTACAAAATTTTAGAGGTCGCATTAAGATAATTTAAATAATATTTTCGTAATCATCGCTTTGGCTCTGTCTGGACCTTGAGCTGTTGTGGGCGTATCTTGAATCATCTGCGCTAATTCTTTCATTATACCTTAAGCAAATTCAATTAATAACGCTATTTCGGAAAGGTCATACATCTTGATTGATTTAAATCGATGCTCCAGGCCTTTAGCTACGCTTTCTAGAGAATCGGTTTTGTTCTTTTGAAGACATTATTTCACAAACAATATTAGTTAGACATGGCAAAATTTTACGTCATCTCGGAAACGGAAAAAGTAATTTTGGTTCTTAGGTTTTCAAAGAAAATTATAGTGTTTCTTATCATGTTAAATAGTTAAATAAAACTGTGCGTTGAAAACGCACAGAATCTGTTAAGCCGGCCAATTTGGTGGGCACTGGTTATACATAATTCTTTTCATGCTGCTTATCGTTGTCGGAAATACCATGCACAGTTGAATTCCATCACGGACGACGGGATGTGCTATTTGCAGATTCACCCATAAATTATGTTTTTTGTGCGTTCTTTTAATTAACGCACTTAGTCTCGTAGCTTTCATATCTTTTTGCTATTGAGAATGAATGTTCAAAGTGCATTCTAAAATCTTTTTTTAATTTCTTATAATTCATAGACGCTCGAGTTTGAGAGCGTGACGACGGTATCGGGCATACAATCTCGAAAATTATAGGTAAGTGATCGCTGCTGGCGGTACAATTCATTATAGCGCTTGATAAACTAGTGACTGACGAACTTAGGAAACTCAGATTCAAGACCGAATAGGACCAATCACAAATATAAGTCGGCGTCCCTGAATTCAGGCAACGAATGTTGTTATCTGCTGTCCACTCCCACAATCTTTTACCGCACCCACCGATCAGTTCGGAAACTTTAACACGTATGATGTGAATTAAAGTCGCTGATCAGAGTTATTTTGATAACTGGGTGTGATGGAAGCGTCCAAATATCAATTAAGAAGGTATGCATTGTCTACCAACAAGGCGCGCAGCCTAGCAAAGCAATTGTTAAGGCAAGAATTTCAATTTTAGATGACAAATGCTTAGGTGCAACTTTCGTTTTTAAACATTATTTTTATTACTAATAAAAAATTGAAAACCTCCACTTTGCGATGAACGGTCTAGGCGCAACGAACTAAATATATATTTAATTGAAAACACTGATGCGTTGAAAGCCAAGTTTCTTGTAGAGCAATAATGTCTGGTAAGAAAGTTCATACCAAATATATAAAACCAGTTGCTGCTGCGTGAATCAATCGAAAATTTTGCTGAAGGATTTTAAGTGACCCTATGATTTAGCTAAAATAGCCTCAGTGATGGCCTTGCTTAGAATATTTTATTAGGAAAATCAGCTTTACACTGGCTGTCCTTGTAATACCTCTTGCTTTTTAATGGACAGGTGAAGCACCCTTTTTGTACGAAAGAGATCGTAAGCACTTTCACTTTTGAGAATTGTCCCCATCTCATCTGAGTTCTGCACTTATCTCTGATAACTTTGCTTTGAGATGGTCTGGTGGCAGCTAATAAGCCTATAAAGTGTGCACCGTGCGACGGCATATATGAGCCGGCCTCCTTTAAGTTCCCAGAATTTTCACTAATAGGAGGTGATAGAGATTTTCCACCGTTTCAAACATTTGGGCTATCCGGTTCGTGAGAATGTGGGCCAATGACTCACAAATGTTCCAAGCGAAGCATTTCTATTTGCTTTTTCCACTGCGTTCTCTACTGCTCCCGCAATAGGAACAGAGAGAGCTCCTTAAATTGACGTTACATTGCGGCTGTAACGCCAACGTAGTTTTGTGTTCGTGCTTTCACTTCAACAACTGCTTCTTTCGAGAACACCGTCTATGTTAAACAGTCTCTAAAAGGTAGACCACCTGGGGTTCTTTAACGTACATCCAAATCTGAGTACACGGGCCTACATCATTTCCGCCTCCATCGGAAATGCAGCCACCACAGACGGGATTTAATCCTGCGACCTGCGGGTCAGCAGCCGAGTACCTCAGCCACTAGACCACCGTGGCGGGTCAGAGAGCCAAATAGGAATCATGAGACTTTAAGAGTAGCTCTTTTACTGTTGAGCCATTCGTTCTACCTCCCCATTTGCCTGCGGGTACCTCGGGCTACACGTCACCCGCTGGAATTCATAAGCCCTCGCGAACGCCTTAAATTCCTCACTAACAAAATGAGCACCGTTCTCCGTTACCAGCACTTCCGGAATACCGTGCCTTGCAAATACATCTTTGATGTTACTAATAACGCTGGTGCTGGTAAGAGATGCCAGCAAACACAACTCACGAAAGCGCGATAGATAGTCCACTAAAAGCAAGTAGTTCCCGCCATAGAGGAGGAAGATATCTGCTGCGACCCTTTGCCATGGGCGATTAGGTGTCTGGGTTGGTATCATAGGTTCACTCGGCTGGTGTCGAAACTGAACAAATGCGGCAATCGCCAACCACGGTAGCAAGCTGAGAGCTTAAACCAGGCCACCAAACGGATTCTCCTGCTCTCGCCCTGCACCTCACGATACCCTGATGACCTTTGTGAAGCAGACTTAACATTCTATTCTGCAGCGAGTGCGGCACAACGAGACGCGTGCCATGCATGAGCGCTCCTTTGTAGACACTCAGAGCTGCACGATCCTGCCAATATGGACTCAATACGCTTGACATCGAAGCTGGTCTCGGCCATCCTTCACGAAGATAACGGCGCAGCATACGGCAGGTCTCGTCCTTTGCCTGTTCTTTGGCAACCAGTCGAAACTGGTCCGACTCGCCCCTTTAATCTAATTGCTCACTCGAAACATGACTCCGGCAAATACTGCACAGGCCTACCTCGGATGCACTTGCTTCGGCATTCGTGAAGTCCTGCCTTTGTGGACACACCGCAGCGAAGTGTCCCCGTCGTTGGCACCCGTAGCAGATTGCTCCTTTTGCAGGACACGATGACTTCCAATGACGGGCTCTGCCACACGACGCACACTTTCGGACGTCTTTGTTGACCCGTTGGTGCTCTGCCCACCCGCAAGCTTCTCAATGAACTGCGTCGACCTCAAGGCTGGTTGCTTGGTGGTACGCACTGCTGTGAAGATCATGTTGTTGTTGTACCGCTTCTTTCGTTCTTGCCCTGGACAGTGCAGTTTTCAGATTCAGTGTTGCGTCCATTTGGAGGGCCTCCGACAGCTTGGAGTCCCGTAGTCCAACGACGAAACAGTCGAGGATCATCCTCTCTTTCATCACGCCATAGTCACACCTATCTGCCAGCGTATGTAACGCCGTCACGTACTGGTCCACCGATTCACCTGCAGCTTGGTGGCGACGATGGAAGCACGCACTTTCGTAGACCGAATTCCGTGTGGCAACGAAGTATGCGTCGAAGCGTTTCTTCACCACTTCATAGTTCTTTGACTGTTTTTCCTATAATTCAAAGGTCCGGAATATGTTGCGAGCATGTCGCCCCATCGTATACATCAGCGTGCATACCTGGGCCTCCCCAGTTCGCTCGCTAAGGCTAGAAGCAAATAGATAATCATCGAAGTCTTGCACCCACGCCGGCCACTCTGACACCTTGTCAAAGTTGAAGCTTGTTGGCGGTTGTACCGGGAAGGGCTGGCAGAAACCCGTATTTTCTGCACTCGCCATAGCTCGAAAAGCAGTGCGCTACACTTATGACACCATGTCGGGTTTCCGTGACAAACGACACCACGTTGAATACGAACGGGAAAACGCCCCCGTACTCTTTATTAACTCTGAATATATACATGTGCCTGTATGGCACGCATGCGCAGCGCGTTGCCCCGGTAGCGGCGGCATGACACAACGTAAACTTGATAACAGCTGAACGATTACACCACAGAAGCTTTAACACGTATAGTGGGAATTAAAGTCGCTGAGCAGAGTTATTTCGATAACTGGGTGTGATGGCAGCGTCCAAACATTAAGTAAGAAAGTATGCATTGTCTACCAACAAGGCGCACAGCCTAGCATTGCAGTTGTTAAGGCAAGAGTTTCAATTTCAGATGACAAATGCTTAGGTGCAGCTTTCGTTTTCAAACCTAATTTTATTACTATTAAAACATTCCAAACCTCCACTTTGCTATGAACGGTCTAGGCGGAACGAATTAATTTATTAAAAACACTTATGCGTTGAAAGCCAAGTTTCTTGTAGAGCAATAATGTCTGGTAAGAATGTTCATACCAAATATATCAAACCAGTTGCTGCTGCGTGAATCAATCGAAAATTTTGCTGAAGGATTTTAAGTGACCCTATGATTTAGCTAAAATAGCCTCGGTGACGGCCTTGCTTAGAATATTTTATTAGGAAAATCAGCTTTACACTGGCTGTTCTTGTAATACCTCTTGCTTTTTAATGGACAGGTGAAGCTCCCTTTTTGTATGAAGGAGATCGTAAGCACTTTAACTTTCAGGAATCTGTCCCCATCTCATCTGAGTTCTGCACTTATCTCTGATAACCTTGCCTTGAGATGGTCTGGTGGCAGCTAATAAGCCTATAAAGTGTGCACCGTGTGACGGCATATCTGAGCCGGCCTCCTTTGAGTTCCCAGAATTGTCACTAATAAGAGGTGATAAAGATTTTCCACCGATTCAAACATTTGGGCCATCCGGTTCGTGAGAATTTGGCCCAATGACTCACAAAGGTTCCAAGCGAAGCATTTCTATTTGCTTTTTCTACTGCGTTCTCTACTGCTCCCGCAATAGGAACAGAGAGAGCTCCTTCAATTGACGTTATATCGCGGGCTGTAACACCAACGTAGTTTTGTGTTCGTGCTTTCACTTCAACAACTGCTTCTTTCGAGAACACCATCTATGTTCAACAGTCTCTAGAAGGTAGAGCTCACATGTCTTTGCAGAACTACTCGAAGAATCTGTAGCATGAGCTTTGTTACAAAGGCAACACTTTTCTTCAATACTCTGGCACTCGCTAAAACTGTGACCTTCCCCACATGCTCTGCACCTGACAGCAGACTCTTTTATGATGTGCCATTTTATGGTGAAACTTTTATGATGTGCCCATAACGCCAAGACTATATGCATTGGAGCAGGGGGGGGGAGTGAGGTTCGGTGCTGTAAATTAGGAGTCAAGCCTGAGTTTCTGTTGGCCGGAGTGACTCTGCAAATGACACTATGACAGACTAAGTAGGCACTTAGCTCTAGTCAACCACCCGTACACACCGATAAACTGAAGTAACACCTGCTGGCAAAATCGATTGCAACACTTCGCAGGGAGTCATACTGACGTTTACACCTCGAAATATAGATCCCTAGCTACATGCTAAACGAGGTGGTGAACGCGCTCACCAGATGGGATGCAAACATCCAGCACGTCAGAAGATCCTGCACACAGGACTGATCTGGTAAAAGGCATAGTATGTCCCCTCTGCCGAACTGGCAGACCTCGGTTATTGACTGGAAATAGGCCATCGCCGATAGTGATGCCACCTGAATTGTTTCCGGGTTCTTCATTCGAATGATGCAGTCATTCGTTGTGACAAGAGCCACTGGAACGTATGATATAACGTTGTGCAAGAAAAGATCCACCGGCACCTCCTTCGAATCAGTGGCAGTAGACCAGAGCAAGGCCCCGGGTCCAGGCAAATAAATAGCATTCTGTCTGGCCTAAATGCCCAAAAACACTTATCAACCAACCATTTATATACACTATCTATATACACCACTCTATATACTGTCTTCGTCAGACAAAAATGCAGAAAGGACAAGAAATATCGAAAGAAAACATTGCGATCGTTTCTTTTTTGTAATTTGAGTGTCTGGTGAGCGCCCTTTTAACCCACTGCTCGAACAAAAAGGACACACGAAACTTATCTCCAGGTACAAGTGAGCGTGAACTAGCAAGTGTCTCAACTGCTACTTTGCTGTGTCTAAAAAGCACGCTCTTTTCTCAAACGGGGACTGTGCAGTGAGTGAAGTGACTTTTGTGCGCCTGGTAATTGCAACGCAATCGTTCTGGGGGCAATCTTAAGGCATAATGCCTAATCGCGAGATAAGCTCGCACACACAAGGTCGTCTACCACACGTGGGGCAAATCGCGCGTGGAAGACGAGGCATGAGCTCGCGTCGTGACAAGCGGGGTGCTAAGCTATTTGCGCCATGTCACTGATAATGCTGAAAGCAGGCTGATGTTTTTTTCGAGATAGGCACCGCTAGCTGTAATCGGTGTATATGAATAGCTTGCCGTTTAAACGTTGGGGGTCGCGCGCACTCAAGGCTCAGTGGCTAACGCTGCGGAACGAGAGGTCGCCTGTTTGAATCCGCGCGTCGAAGAATATTGTAACAAGAACGTGTTTCATGCTGGAGTCCACCATGGCTCCTCTGACATGCTTCCATGACGGAAGGGGCGGTGAAAACTATATACTAATAGATTGCAAAGAGAATACCCGAAGGCAAGCGCCTGTCGTGCGGAATAGAACCAGCAACCTCTCGACTTTCAGCGTGCGTCACTAATCACTACGCCACAGAACGTACACTGTCTGGATTGCTAACGGCAAGTCATTTATATGCACCATACACCATTTGGCAGTTCTCAGAGCTGCGAGTCTTTAGCGCACTTTCGTTATCAGTGGCGAAATGGCGCGACAATCTCACTTTGGGCTCGTCCTAAAGGTCATCACCTCCACTAAGCGCTGCCTCCATGGAGCGTAGTCTCTCCTGCGCGTGCGCTGATAAGACTAGTAATTCGGCAAAGGACTAAAATCACTTCACACGCTATCGCGGCTATGTTTACGAAAGGCGTCCTGCTTACACACGACGCATGAAGAATCGTGACAGTTGATCGCGCTTGTCCTGTGTACGCTTTCGCGCTAGTTTGGTGCATCTTTCTTCCTGTTTCAAGAGCACGCTTTATCTGAGGAGAACTGAAAGTTGTCAGCCCACGCTCGTCCTCTCTATGCTTATACTGGCGCTGCAAAGGCGAAAGGGGGACACCCTCAGTAACCCGAGCGGCGACGGGGCACGAAGGCCTTGAGGTCTAGGCCCGCGTGACATTAGGACTTCTAGTGTAACGTGAGATAGGGTGAACCCCACGCCCTGCGCGGCCGGAGGGAATCCCGCATGCTGGAACCCAATAAAGTTTATTCTCTCTCTCTCTCTCTATGCTTATTTAGTACGTGCTTTCTGCTTGACGTGTGCGCTGCAAGCTTCCAGCTGCTTGCCATTCCTAATTTCTCTTGCCAATTTGCTGTTGTTTCTGAAGCAATGAGCAATAAACGCTCAACTACTTTTGTTAAGACACGTTTCACTTTCTTTCGTGTTATACCGATTCCTATATAGGAAGATTAGCGATGGCTTTATAAATTATTTTTCTTCATGGCTTTTACACACACACACACACACACAGATATATATATATATATATATATATATATATATATATACGACAAAATTCAACCCAGAGTGCCCATATAATTGCTATCACAATAAAAAACCCTTTGACAAAATGTAAACTACGTTCATCCTTCCTCGAAGGCGGTCTGATTAGCACTGTTTGCTGGAGAGTAAGTGGCCTGCGTTACCCGACGTGTAGCTGCCACATCGGCTTTCATGGGAGAGAAAAGAGTACGCGGTTCACACGCATGCAGTAATTTCTTCTTCTCCGCTCGGGTCTCTCTTTCTTTCTCTCTTTGTATTTTCTTTTCACCCTCCTTTTTAACGCATAACAGAAACTTCCTAATCACTTACTTTGCTGTCTCAAAAGAACAGCGACGTCATCCTTACTTAACGCTTCTTAGGTAACTCAACCCTGTCCGGTATTTGCTCATCATACGTACCTGCGATAATTCGTAGTATGTTCTCCCTACGGTATCATTTTTTTATTTACTGTCTCACACGTCATCTTTCATCTTTCTTCGAAAGCCAGGGAGATCCATAAGGACGTTCCTACCCACGTCACCGAGGAGCGTTTTGGGTAATAGGCTTAAGGAAAGCTAGTTATCACTACTAAGTCGTGCTCATGGTCACTTTCAGTCAAATGCTTTGTTTTCCCAGCTTGATGTTTCTCGCTTTTTTGAAGCGGTCGCCATTCGGGGCTAATTAGTACAGAAGTGATATTGATGGTGCGATCAAAGTAATGTCATTTCTGTCGATGCAAAAGCATTTTTTATTAGGATGGCCTTTCAATTTCATTGCTTCTATATATTAAAACTGTGAGGTTTTAAAGCGACATGCTCAGCGAGTGTGGCAAGCGCTGCAGCTGTGTTTTAAAGAAAAAGTGCCTGGTGCACAGTACCGTGTATTGAATATTGTCCTTTCTCATTTGTTGTAGGATGTCTAACCGGCTATTTCAAAACTGGTTAGCCTCCCTGCCTTTTGTTCATCTCGCTTTATATTTCGGCACCTTTGTAAGTGGTAAAGATATTGCATTTCTTATTTCCTGTTTCTCG